CCAATGCTGCCTGGCCAATACACCACTTAGATTCCATTACATTCAGGATATGATGCATGTTATACTATTTTGCTGCTATTTCACAGACTGCATAAACTGATGGAACTGATTAAATGGTCAATAAACTACCGTTTCTCTGCTCTTATCTTGACATACTTCACAATGAGTCCCTTTGCCCACATATCCTCTTTTGTTCAGACAGCTGAGGCCTGTCAGCCAAATAAGCCTTGACGATAATATCGTGCCAGGAAACATGTTATTTGGATACATTTACCTCTTTGAAAAAAAACGATTTTCAAGAAAGCTTTAATTAAGCATGTTCACTAAGTGGATGCCAGGGCTACCTGACCCAAAGCAATCAGGACCCTGCCTCTGTTTACGCTGGCTGGACGCCAAATGACTGAACCAACATGACAAAGCCCTGAGAGTAAGAAGTGGAGAAAAGAGATTATCTTGCTCGGAGATCAAACCACATACTGCTAAAGCACGGAGGGGGGCTGAACAGGGAGAGGAGTGCTAATGAGCCTGAAAATGTTCCTCAACATAACACGAATATAGTGGTTGCCAAAGACCCTCCCCAATGCACTTCATATTTGTCACAAAGCCCAGGAAACTGTGCAGATATACGCACGTCATGCCCATCGCAGTTCAGCGGGGCAATCTACTGAGCCAGCAAAAGAAGGGAAACAACATCAATATCTTGTACTGACTGCAGAGTTATAGCAGTTTTTGTTGTGATGACGGATAGATTGTGCTAAAGGAAGACTATGATGAATGAAGTATTGGACGCAGCTGGATGCATGTGCGGTCAGTGATGGATTTTTTTCACATCAAAACCCTCTTCTTATCGGCTCTTTGTGGGACTGAGATTTCATTCAGAAGAATCATATTGTGATAATGATCAGGCAACGTATGTCCTCTAAATTATCTATAAAAAGCAAAGAGATCTGGCTCAATTAATACCATGCAGTTCAAAGAAATGAACGCAGCTTTAATTATTTAACAGATGACTGTTTGCAGAATCAATCGCCTTGCTTGAGGTGCTGTGGACACTACATCAGAAGTTCGTAGCTTTCATCAAAGACAAAGGCTCCACCCACTGATGAGCAGGTGGGATGTGCTACGCTAAATGTGTACCCACTATTTGCTCCATCCATCATGAAGGGAAACATAAGACACATGGCACCAACTGAACATCCAAGCAGCGAGCACTTTGGCCTGTAGCACCAGCTGTGTTTGCCTTTCCAATAGGGCCAGGAGAATAAGTGAGACCTTATGGCTACTGGGCCGAGGTAGGGCGGATCAATCTTAATTTCTATTGTTATAAGGATTGACCGGTGAGCAGGCTTAAAGCAGAGGAGAGGGGGATGCACAATGGGGTATTTCCATACAAACAGGGCTGTTGATCGCTTAAAGAATGTGCCAACACGTGTCGTCTTTCGAAGACATACGGAACAAAAAGGCTGTCCTCTCTAAGACGATAAGACAACTAATTGGTCACCCTTCAATGGGGTTCCCCAATGCAGCTGGATTGTCTTGATTATCAAATATCATACATACGTAGATCAATACACTAGCATATCGCTCTTTGTACCCAATACTACTTGTTTTCTCCGCCTCTTTGTTCATACATTTTGATAATCAAACTACTTCTTGTTCATCCACGGCTTGTAAATCACATGATCGTTCGTTCAAATTGCTGAGGCAGCATCTCCTTCACCTTCCAGACTGATATATTGCATGCTCTCTGGTAAGCTCACAGGAATTACATGCACTGCTACTCAACTGCTGCCATGGGAGCATTTTTGCTTCATGCACACCAATCGCCATATGATTTATATGACCATCAATGGAAGAATTGCAGTCATTTCTTTCTTCAGGGTTAATGAAAGTCGTTGTCACATGGGAGGTTGTGTGGCGCTGTTTAAAGAGCTACCTCGCTCACTTCTCGACCTATACACCAATCACCTGCACTTTAACTCTTAATCCATTACCTCATTTGATACGTTGTTAAAGTGCCCACCACCATTTAATCTTCATTCTCTTTGAAAACCTTACAAGCCATTGTTTAGTAGGTGAGCCCAGCAGGAGTGCAATTCAATTTAGAGCTACAGAATAATCTCTACAGAGGTCTAGGAGCTTTGGGTTGTTAAGAAGAGCATGAATGGGTGCATCGGTTCAGCTTGATGAGACCATGTCGCTCTGCTGAGCTGGTCAGTAGGTTCCCGTTTGTGCAGCAGAGAGGGGGATCTCGTGTTGAAGTAGATACAAAAAAGTGCAGCTGACTGAACAAATCCCTTAAAGTGGATGGGTAAGTGTGTGTTTCCGCAAACCTAGTAGCCTCAGCAAAACAAGTCAAATTCAGAAGCACTGAATTATGCAGCACAGACCGTACCGTTCCGTAGTCACAGTGTTGGGTTATTATTTTGTCCAAACTGCCACTACAACACAGGATGGGTGTTAGTGAAAGCTCTTCCACTTGAAGTTGTGTACACCAGGAAAGGGGTCAAAGCCAATCATGTGTCTTTTCGTTGGGAGCCGCGATGAGTGCTGTAGCAAATGAGAATTCTCAGCCAAGATGCTGTCAACGCCAGCTTTTGGTTCACCTTCTTTTTATAGTAAACTCTCCAGACGCTGCAGGCCGTACACTACCAGCAAACACTTTGAAAGCCAAATATAATCTCAAACACAGAAGAAAGAAATAGAAACCTATAGGCCACTATTACGCTTGCCTCACTGTACTGTTTGCCCTGAAAATACATAATCAAGGGAGTGGATATGCTGGGAATGGACAAAAAAGTTTCAAGTCATATTGTCTCGAAGATGCCTCAGTCATGTGAAGTCCCTGTGGTTTCCCCCTGCAGTGCCTCTCTACCTAGACAGTAAAAGGCCTTTATCCCCCGTGTGACAATAAGCACAGATGTTACCCATGCCTGATAAGTCACATGCACGCCACCTTATATGGAGAAAAATGTGCCGGAGAGAAGACATGAAACATTGGCGTTTCTCAGCCAGTGTGCTTCAGAATTAACGACGACGGGCACTCACACACAGCTTTCCAAATGGCCTGCAAGAGAGTAGAGCAAATTCCAAGTTTCTCACTTGACGAAAGCTGCTATACTAGTCAATGACAAGAAGAGTCATTTTTCAAACAGTCAAGTTGTTCTTCTCCCCATAACTCAAAAGTCACACATTCTATAGTAACTGACTTCAAAACAGACTGTTTAATGAGGGAAGTTCCTGTGGTGATTATGTCACCGTTAGATGATGTTATGGAGCCATTCCACTTAAATTAGACTTGAGATGAGCTGTAGAAGCCTGTGAAGCAACTCTGAGCCACCCAGAGAGAGGGTGGCATTACATATCACTTTGGACTGGTAAACAACTTTGAGAAATAGACAGTCCTGCCAGCCTTATGTCATAACTCCCAACTCGTGACAATAGAAAATGCGAACGAGCAAAACACTATTATGGTTTCCATTAAAAATAAATGATTGGTCACACTGAATCAGTTTCACTCGGGTTCGGGACCCCGTCCCAACCCGGCAAGAAACAGAATAAAAACATAATGTTCCTTGTGGTCCAAGATGTCTTAACCGCAAAAATGTGAATCGAAAAGGCAAAAACATGCATGTGGTGCCATGGCTTCTGACCCAGTGATTGTGTTACTGGCCTTCGCACAGAAACAGTGTGCACGCATTAGAACAGCAGTAATTATGTATGAAAATAATAATTTTAGAGTCTATTATTTTGTCAGGGGAGACTGAAATGTAAACCAATCAAAGAGCAAGTTCCCTTTCCAGAAAAATAAACCAAAGACATTATTTTCTCTGCGCTCATGTTGGGCTGAGTCTAATTCTAGGGCAAGAATGATCCACATAAATAATAAAAAGGCAATTACAGTGCGTCCAAAACAAGAACAGTAAATAATCATTAATCCAATTAAGTACCATAAAACTACATTTCCTGACAAGTGAACTTGGTAAAATCAATGAATGCCAGCCAGCCTGGCAAACATTAGCCTGTTAATAATATTATAACCTTTCTAAGATGTGTGCAAAGGCAGCAGGGCAGTCTGACTGACATTTCACCGTGAGGGATTCCATGACAAAGGCCCCAAAATGCCAAAAGGCGTGCCCAGCCCTTACTACTGTTCCTTGGGTCTGTTTTCTCAGGGCGGGCCCTTCCCTCCTGGGGTCCCGTGGCCCTTTTGTTACTTCTGTTTGTAGCTACAGAGCCCTTCCAGCACACGGCCAAAGAACAAGACAGGCCGAATGTAAATCACATCCAAACATACCCCTGCATTTAAGGGAATTACCAACGCTAACAATCTCTCATAAATCAGAAGGAAGAAAGAGGAGAAATGTGGGTCACTGACACTGATGTGAGATACATGTTGAACATCTTCACACTCAAGTGATCTATTGTCAATGAAAGGACACCAAAATAGCTTTGGATTGGAAACACAGCTGAGCATGCTGACAGGGTGTATTGTTCTTTTTTATTACATAAAACTGAGATTTGAAACAGTAAATAAATAAATAAATAATGGACATTGCAATTATGAAAAAGTGAAAATCATCACTCACTTGCAGTTTTCACATCTGACTAATGTAAAGACAGGTTTTTACACGTATAGAAAAACTGCTGAATAACTCTTTACTTCTTACAGTGTGTAGGCTACTTGTACAATAAAACGCATTACACCATGGGACAATTGTGTTTTATAACATAGCAACTTTATGGTTTTTATAGGTAGGCTACATGATTTCAGTCATAGCTGCTGCAGCGAGAATTACCACTCACACCAGCCAATGAGAAGTCACTGATGAAATAAATACTACACATCAGCCCCAAACTTCTCTTTACCGGGCAAACTTTGAGCGGTTATCCCGGTTGAAGATGCATTTCAGTGTTGCAGCGGACAAAGCGCTTTTACACACATGAGCGGAGTCCTTTAAAACCAACGTGACAGGGAAATAAGTTCGCTTCCAACTCACCGGTTAACGTCTCCTCTCATAAAACATATTTCTCGGAGTATTCACGTGCTTCACTCTTTGCCACGGCTCGATAAAACGTCGTTGCATTTAATAGAAATATAAAAATCGGATTTTCTCCGAGCGTACTTCCACGGTTCTTCTGTTTCCACAGCAAATGTTCCTGGGACGGAGCGCCAAGAGACTGCGGGCTCCTCCCAGACAATGTGGGGTTAAACTCCGCCTTCCGACGGACTCTGGTGGGGGATGGCCGTGTGCTTCAGACAGCAGCCACACCGGGGGATTAATGAGAAGCCTATATCTATATGTCTTGAATGAATGCATTAGGTGAATTAGGGGTTCACAAACACTGGTTCGTGGACATTCATGAATCCCCTTGCGGAGATTTCAAGGTCCTCCCCAAATCAACTAGTTTGTTTACATGGTCATTTAAGTTCAATTAAACGGACATACACTGATAAATACAACTCTAACGTTGAGATTTAGAAAATTAAGTTATTATTGTTATATCTGTCTTTGCTTGTGTCGTGTTTTTAATAAAAATGGGTGAGGATTGAAATAAGAGGGGCATTATTAAGATGTTATTTGCTTTGTGGGAAAGGGATTCAGTTTTTTGGACTCACTTTTGGTACCAGTTTATTTTGTGTCATCGTGTTCTTATTTAACTGCAGTCAGTCAGTATCCCGTCAGTTTACATTGGATTAACCCCAATCACAAATGATGATGTGTTAAACTGCACTTGCTGGATCCTTTCATTGCCAAACAAACAGAGGAACCACCTGGATTTCATCAACTGTACATCATGAGTATACAGTTACAGCCAAGATAAAGTAGACTCTTTTAGTTTTGACCTTAGCTTGGCTAAGAATCCCCCCAAAAAGCACTATCCACAACTTTATTGAAAACCAAAAAAGAGTTGAGTATAGCCATTTTGTGCCATGTAGTGAAAATATGGCAACGGTCAGGTGCTTCCTTAATCTGTCCATCAACTTTATGGATGTACAAAACTTACTAATAACCTAAGTAGCCCTTTGAAACAGTAAGGGCGCAGACTGATCCAAAAATAGTTATGTTGAATAGACAGTTGTGTTAACACTACATTGAATGTTTGCTTCACATACGTGTTCACAAAAAGTTGTATGTGCGTGCAGTCCATGTAGATCCTCGCAGATATAGGCAGATAAGACAAGATTGCACATTCAAACATACGTGATTTTTTATCAGGTTTTACTTTTTCACCCACTTTTAGTGTTACATTTAGATCTGTAGTCCTGAGGATCTGTTTGGCGGGCCCTTGACTTAAAACATGTCCTACCTTTAGGTTCTCTGACAGCTGTTTTGCTTGGAAAGGTGAACAAGGTGAGCATATTTTGCAGAACACTAACAACCCTGTCTGTCACATGGAGTAATGAACTGATAGGAAACAGGTTTGGTTTCCTCAGACAATCGAACAGGCTTCCAGAGAAGAGAATGGTCATTGTTATTCTTGCACAGAGCGTCTAAGTATTCATCCCTCCCTTTCATTTTCTCTCTATCATTGTCAGTCATGCACAACCAAATGCCTCCCCTCCCTGATATGACAGTTGCGCTGACCAGGCCTTCCTTCCTACAATCTCTACAGCAATGCTCGTAAACCAAAATCCAGCCTTGTGTTTCATAATGTGGCTCTTTGACCAGGCGTGTCGGCCCAGCCAGACCTGTCTAATCTGCATATCAGCCTCTTTACAGCTGCTATAGTGGGGTCTCAATGGAGATCCTATCTGTCTGCTGCCCATTGTAGCCAAATATACTGCATACTCCACTCCTTTCATTATAGATCAATCTGGATCTGTTTACAGGAACCTCAAATGCATCTTTTACCTGTATTTAGCCACAGGGTATTCAGTAATTAGTCAAAATCAACATATCCTAATATGCATCTTCAGAAGTGGTAAAGCGTTATGCAGACAATGAGGTTGTGAATCCCTGTGTTGAAGCCAACACTGATGTAACCCCAGGATCAGAAATCAGAAATACTCTTTTTTATTGGTCCAGAAGAACCATTATTTTCAACCATGATCACTGGGTGTTCCCAATGACGTTGTGCAGATCTCCACCCAGTATGTGTTGTTGTTCAGTGCTGCATACTGGATATTTTCTGGCCATATAGAGGCTCTCTGTGCCGTCTGGCAGCTTTCCGGAGCTCTGGTCGCTGCGCATCTCATTAAACATAATTGGCTATGACGGACATCCTGCCACCCATCTCCACTTTCTGACAAAAGACAACAACCCTGAGAAGGTCTTTTCCATAAAGTCACAAAAGAACAACAGGAAGAGGATCAGTGATGATTGAAATATTGGTATTGCCAGTTTAATGCTTTAACACACAGCAGGGAGCAGAAAAACAGTGAGCTAGGCCAGCAGTTTCTTTGTTTTCTGCCGACGCGAAACAAATGTGAAGATAGGCAGGTATGGGCACACACACACTCACACTTATCAACACCTCAGCACCTTCTCCTTCCTTTAAATGAGGCTTCTCAACAGTTCAGCCATCCTGTCACCCCTTTGTCCTGCTATTATGGCCACTCTAATAGTATGTGTATCTGAGTGTGTTACTGTATGTGAGAGTAGGGGAGGGGAGGAGTCAGATCCCCTGCTAAGTGATTTTCTCACCCTCCTCACTGCTGCCTATTGTACCGATGTGACATTATTACTACTGTATGAAAGTTGTTATTCTGCGCCCACGCGTTATTACCTTGCTCATTTGTCATGAAGCCTTTAATGACTCGCTGTGGCTCAGTGAAAATTGTCTTATACTGTTTTTTCTTTTAAAGCAGGCAGGCTGGTTCTGAAGGGGCTCTGCGGCTGTCTGGAGGGGAAGATGCTTTCCGTCCGGAGAGAAGTTGTCATAAGGTGGGAGACACAGGGAGGGCTATAATCAGACACCCTCCCGCCACACCCTCAAACAACTCCTTACTTGTTGTTGCATAGTAGCCAACATTAAAGCACTAACAAATACAAAGAGGCGGTGGTAGCAGCTAACACAATAGACAAAGAAAATCAAAGAAAAGAGGACACAAGGGAAGATATGGTCTGAAAAAGCCAGGCCTTCTTGGAAAGGCTTTTAATTTAAGCTGGCAGATCTGATCCAAGTGATAGCTTGCAGACTCCTGAGGGCCTAAGTAATGAAAAATCAATGGTGACAACGAGTGAACTGTGTGTCACAGCAGCCAACCTCTCACAACAGTGTTATTCGGGTCTTTAAGGACAGACGCAGCACTTAAAGCCTCTGATTTACCACCCTATAAATGGGATTTTATTAACGCTAGATAAAATATTAACCTTTTACTTAAATTATGTTAAAAAGAGGACAACATACTGCCATTTTGGACAAATTCCTTGGACTGTGGACCTGTGAAAATCACTCCGCCACAGTTTCATTGTGTGCAGTAATAGTAGATGATGACTGATGGAGCAGGTAGATGCTCGACAGAGCCCTTGTTATCAGAGGATAAATAACCTGTTTGGATGTATTGGAGAAGGAAACTATGTGTGATGGATCTGTCCCACACACGTTGCATCATCTGTCTGTCTGACTGGATGTGCCATTACTGAGAGCAGGGGGGGGGGGGGGGGGGCAGGGTGTGCCTGCAGCTGTTGATTACTTGAGTTCTAGGTGAAGAAACTGTCACGAGGGTGAGACAGAGTGAGGAGTTGAATTAGGTTTTTCTCTTTTCTCCCGTGTATGGAGAAAAGATTGAGACAGCCATTTGATGAATGGCAGGATAGGACTGTAAAACAAAGAAAAGTCAAATGAAAGTGTGGAAAATAGAGGCAACATTTGCACCTGAGGACACTGCAAAGAAAATGTGATTGTGCTGGAGTTTTTCAAAGAAGTTCACACAAGGAGATACGGATACTACATTGTGCAGCATTAATTAATACTTTGTGTGTAACACACAACAATACACTGTAAAGCAGTAGTTCCTAGCCTGTGATGGAAAATAATAAAAAATGGAGAGAATAATGTGGAAACTAGTTGACTGCTGCCTAATAGTGACACTGTTCCACATCACCTTCCAAGAAACATTTCTGAGTCGCAATTTGACATTTTATACTGTCTGAAAATCACCAACAATAATGAATGAATACAAATCAGGCAATGTGTTTATTCCCTTTTATTCTTTTATCACTTTTATGCAGTACAGGAAACTGGATATGCATTTATTTTAGCACATGTCATGTGTTGGGCGAACCAACACGCCACTGTATGACAATGTTCACTAACCATAAAGTCAATCCAGTTTAAGGAATAACCCAATACTTGCTAGCCCGGATACTCTGTGGATACATAAGAGCATCTGTTGTGTGAAATCCCTTAAGGCTAAAGTACTACACAGAGAAAACTCAACTCATAACAGATCCCTGTGAGCCCCGAAGTCTTATCTGCCTGAGTTTCTATTTTCTACCATTTACCAACTCCTCTGAGGTGAAATTGCCCACCTACATTAGCTCAAAAACATCAGGCTGCCTGGATTCTCTCTCTAGCTTTTAGGGTGAGTGACTCAGCAGGGACTGACAAGAACATTGCTTATCCTAAAAAAAAACATGTTTGTCTTCCCATCAGGCCGTGTCAAAGCTGGCATACAGTGGCACAGTACCATGTCCAAAGATAGAAAGGAAAAATATTACTAATGGACGGATGATGGACAGCTCACCGACGCACAGACCTCTAACTGAATATGCAACCAAAGAAAATACAAACATGTGCCCGTTTTTCTACATCTTCTATTACCAAAAGTAGGCCAGAATTGACAATGACAGAGCATGTGATGTACAACATGAGATAGGAAAGGATATAAATGATTGAGAGACTGTGAGAAGATTACTTTAAGAAAGGAAAATCAGGACTGGACAAGTCTTGTCTTTTATAGACTCACAGAAAGAGAATAAGGAAGCAGTCTGTAGCTGTGGGCTCAGGCTGGCGTGACAATTTAAGCTGCTTCAAATCTCTTTACTCCTGGTTGAATGTGTGCAACCCCAGCCAGAGGCCAGCAGAGGGGAATCCAGAGCAAATAAAGGGACACTTAATTAAGTTAACATAAGCTAAAACGGAGTCAAATGAGAATAACTTATTACAGGGCAACAAACGTACGTTGACAATCAAAAGCTCCATTGGGTCAAAGGAAAGGCAGCAGCTGATTCCAATGATCCAAATGCAATCATTCACTCTGAAGTGTAATGAGATTTGTATTGGGCTGTGCTGAAG